GGATGTTTGATGAAATCTGGGCAGAATGAAAAAAAACCTGTGCGACCCAGTTACTGTTCACGAGTACGAATCACTGTTTCCGAGGTTAAACTCTGATCTCCACCATTCAGATTGTGCGACACTGAATCATGAACCTATCCTCCAAATTTCAGCTCGATCGGACCACGGACGAAGTGGGATCGGATGTTTGATGAAATCTGGGCAGAATGGAAAAAAACCTGTGCGACCCAGTTACTGTTCACGAGTACGAATCACTGTTCCTGAGGTCAAACTCTGATCTTCACCGTTCATATTGTGCGCCACTGAGTCGTGAACCTCTCCTCCAAAATTTAGCTCGATCGGACCACGGACGAAGCGGGATCGGATGTTTGATGAAATCTGGGCAGAATGGAAAAAAAACCTGTGCGACCCAGTTACTGTTAACGAGTACGAATCACTGTTCCCAAGGTCAAACTCTGATCTCCACCGTTCAGATTGTGCGTCACTGAGTCGTGAACCTCTCCTCCAAAATTCAGCTCGATCGGACCACGGACGAAGCAGGATCGGACATTTGATCAAACCTTGGCAGAATGTGAAAAACTGCGTTTTTCCTTCTCCACTTCCACAAAACGTGTGCTTTGTTTAAAAAAAACCCTACACAGACGTCTACCTTATACTTATAGAGTTTTCCTAAACCCTAGGTTCATTTAAGTCCAACTCACAATCCTAACCGGCCCATCCAATTAACGTAGGAACCTGCGACGGCTATAATATAAAACCCTAATTTATACTGTAATTAAAACCCTAGTTAGATGTATTTACCTAATTACCCTATTCACCATTAAATACATAACAAATAATCTAATTGAACAAAATAATAATTAGTAAACCCAATTAAATCAAATAAGACACACATAAAATAAGACACACATAGAATAATTAAACCAATTACACTTAAACCATTAATGTTAATTAAATAATTAAAACACTAACAAGTAATTCCAATCAAATAACTAAACCAATTACACTTAAACCATTAATGCCAATTAAATAATTAAAACACTAACAAGTAATTCCAATCAAATAACTAAAAATAAATATAATTTAAATAAATTAAATCACCATAAAAGAAAACAATTAAGCACCTAATAAAAAAAATAATGACACATAATCAAATAAAATGCACTTAAATAATAAATTAAATACCATTAAATACCAGGAATATCCTTTTTAAAATTAGGGGTATTACACATGACCCCTTCATCTCATCTTCCCTATATGTTATGTGACTCAAGGGAATCCAATACTAACGTCTTAGGCGACTTCTAGTGGGCTTTATGCTCACCCCTTAACTCAACATTTTTAGGTTCAGGAAAAAAAGTGGCGGAAGAAAATCCACCACAAGCTTAGTGGACTAGAAGTTATATCACCGTCTTTTGTATGAAGGACGCCATTCCTTTTTGTAAAATAATACTTTGGAAGAATGTAATTGTTTTTGTGTAAAACATGATCATTTTTTGTAATTATAATTTTGATGGTATTTGATGCATTCAGGACTATGTATAATATGATGTCTTATATGGAAAACGATGTGTAATTTGGGGAGTTGATTTATATATATATATATATCCATGGAATGCTAATTATGTTGCCGTGAATTCAAAATTTAATGACTATCAGGTTTGGCTCGCAAATAGCCTAGATTTCTGGACTATCAGGCTGCACATAACAGCATTCCAGGGCTCATTAGCCGGCTGACAAACCATTTTGTAACATTCCAGTGAGTTGAGCTATGGAGCAGCTTGTTTCGGTCGGCCGAACCTTACCATCGGTCGATCGAAATTCTGTCACCAGTCGGCCGACACCTCACCATCAGCCGCACGACAGTTCAGTTTGGAAAGTCCCGTGAGCATGCATTTTGGGAAACCGTTTCAGCCGGCTGACCTTGCAGATCAGCTGGCTGAACCTCTCTTTCAGCCGGCCGGTGAACTCTTTTTAGCAAAGTCCCGAGAGTTTGCAACTTTTGAGATCATTTCGGCTGACTGACCATCTCAGTTAGCCGGTTGATCATGCATTTTTAGTCAGCCGACGAAGGATCATCAGCCGGCTGACTCTTCCATTGACCCTGCTGACTCTTCCATTGACCCGACAGACATTTCCTATTGACCCGGCTGACCCTGCCTCTTTGATATGTACCTCGACTCTTTCCTTTCAAACTGTATTTGGAGTTCCTTGATCATTGGGACGGACTGAGTGTTACCTATGAGCATGGGAAAGGACGATTGTACCCCTGGTTGACCCGGGTCGAGTAAGGACCAGGTTAATGGATCGGACCCACGGGTTCGGCTCATTATAAAGACTATAACCTTAGTGACTGAAGACCGGCAAGAAGTACTAAAGCTCACTGGAACTAAAGATCACCAGAAGCTCCGGCGAAACCACTGTTTTGGTTTTGCTAGAACTGTTTGGTTTCTTCATCGTCCGATTTGGTTGCCGTTGATAAAGCTTTCAGTTTCATAATTACAGAGCGTCAAGTGTGTATATAAATTAGAATTTCCTATATGTTAATTAAATACCGGATTCGAAGTCGCTCTGCATTTGAAACGCCGATGGTGTTCGCTTTGACAGATCGGCATTTCAGACTAAAATCAGAATTTTCAAGAAAGCGTCCAAACCACCAGTGATTTTAGGTTAGGAAATTCATCATCCAGTTGATGATAATACCTTCGACTTTATCTTCTCCCGTGGCGGCAGATTCACCTCATCTCTCTTTCAAATTTTCTTTCACACGATCCCATTTCTCTCTAACATAGGTGGTCTATATCAAATAGATGATTAATTATAAAGGCTCTGTGTATTTTTAACATAGGTGGTCTTTTGATAAAGGCTATGTGTCTCTGCTCATCATCGACCAAACCGAATAGGCTCTATGTCTCTAATAATCACCGACCCAACCAAATAGCTTATAATAATCACCGACCCAACTGAATCGCTTTTAATCATCACTAATCGAACCACTGAAATCCATGAACCTGCAGAGACCATGAAGAGTACATCGAAGCCTTATCAGTTTCGGCGAGTCGCAAAGCTTCAGCTCAGTCCGGCGACCTCAGTCTAGACCATCCGGTGAGAGCAGCAATTTCAAACCACCACCACCTGAGAATTTTAAGCCAGCCAAATTAAGAGCACAAAGGTACAATGCCAACATGTAATAGTTCCGATGAACCTTCGGTGATCTTCAAATCCTGCCCGTCAGAGACTGATGCAAATGGGTGAGGTGAGTGGGAAATACAATGATGGGCCAAACGACGTCACTTGGTTTTTTTTGTCCTTTTCCGTCATTTCATAAAATAATGTATTTTAAAATTATTTGTAAAATGTATGGGTGAGTGTAATTTAGACAAACTCTATTTTAAATGTGTTAGATGGACTTATTTGCACAAATTTGAAACTTTAGGGGTGTTTTTTGCACGTTAGGGGTGTGATATGCACTGTAAATATACTACAGGGGTGTTTTCTGCACTTCACCATTTTTTTTTTCTTTTTCTTTTTCTTTTTCTTAACAAGTTAAAAGAAAAAAAATAGGGTAAAGTGAAAAAAACCCCCTTGAAGTATTGACCATGTGCAATTAACCCCCCTGAACTACAATTTGCCCTCTTGAACTATTGAATTTTTGCAATTAATCCCTAATATGGCATCTCTGGCCAATTGGTTATAACGGAAATAGTGAAAGACAATTTTACCCCTATATAAAACCATGCCATTTCACTAAAAATTTCAGCAACCACCAATTTGATTATAATGTGTTTGCATGGAAATCCCCTAACCTCCATCTCCCTCTTGGCCTTTGTTGAAGCATCCTATTGTTTGAGAAAAAATCCGTATCAAGCAAGCTCGTTTACCATCCAAATGCTGTTTGTGATGTAAGAGCTATTACGTGCTTAACCGAGAAAGGAGGAAGAACTTTAGTGTAACTCAGTGTTCTTTCTCCCTCCCTTTATCTGTATATATATATATATATATATATATATATATATATATATATACACACACATATATCTCGCTCATACCTGTTGATTTCAGAATCCTGTAAAAAAAAATTTCTGTAGCACAACCCAGTATTGCAACCCAATCACAGAACCCAATCGCCGCCATTTTAGCGCCACCACTGAAGTTCCGCCTTCGCATCGATCAAAATCACTTCTTGCCGTCGCTGCCCACTACTTCATCACCATGTTCATTCGAAACTGGTGGGTTCCTTCCTTCCCGCTTCCGGAATCGTGACCGCGAGCCGTCACTGTCCTTGCACTGCTTGTTCGTCGGATCTGTAACAGATATAGCACCACCACCGTCGCCGCCGCCACAATAGCACCACCACCTCCTATCCATGGTGATACGTCTCTTCCATCTCCTTCTCCGACTTCAACCCCCGTTTTCGCCGCCACAACAACATCATCACCTCCATTTTCCCTCAAATTTTAGATATATACCTTGTATATATATATATATGTGTGTGTGTGTGTGTGTGTGTGTGATTAACTCCGACTTGATTCTTTCAAGCCTTCGTGTATCCAGCAAGCTCTGCCCCACATCTTCACGAAATGGGGTAAATGTTAGCCTACGATTCTTAACGACTTGACTGGGTTCTGACCTATTTGGGATTTGATCGAGGAAGATAAAGAATGAGGAATTTAGGGGTTTGACCTATTTGGGATTTAACGCATTAAAATGGGCATTGTGGTCTTTTAGTTTCATAAAGGGTTGTATGGTCATTTAAAAAAATTTGGGTTGTTACATGACCAGTCATGTGCTTCTTCACGGTGAAATTCAACTCGCTAATCAGACAGGATTAATTGCAACAAAATAATTAGTTCAGAAGGATTATATGCCAAATTATTAGATGAGGGGGTTTCGCTAAATGACCGATAGTTGGAGTTTTTGCACTTTACTAAATATATATATATATATATATACAAACAATTAATTTTTCGTTAACCGTAGAAAGTGCAAACAATTTATTGCAAATAAAATAAACCAGTTTTTTCCTATTCTAAATGCGCTTCGAATGTGTCCACTTTCTATAAATATTTACTTCATTCCTTAAGCAAACATCGAACCTCTACAATTAAATTATTATCCCTCTATCTAGAAAATGGCAATCGCCATTCTTCAAACGCAGGAATACCTTACCCACAATCGGTTTGGTTCGGAAACTATAATCTCCCCTCCCTTTAGATCTCGCAGGAACCCTAACCCTCAAACGATGCGTCCTATACGGCGAAAGCGAAGTCCGGTGGGATTTCAGGAGAACCGCCGAGATCGTAGTCGGGACGAAGATCAGACGGTGGTTGTGAAGTATCCCGCCAATAATCTGGTCATGGGACAGGTGAAGATCTTGAAACGAGGCGAAGAGTTGAAGCTGGCGACGGATCGGCGATTCCGGGACGAAGATTTTGTTTTGTCTTCGACGGATCGGTTGGGGCCAGAGCCCGAGACGGTTCAGAAGCAAATTAGGGCTTCGGATTTAAAAGTGGTGGATGGGCTGTGCTCTGGTTCGGCGTTGTTCTTAGATTCTCCGCCGCCGAGTTCGGTACCGTTACCGGCCTTCTTCGCGAAGAAGGAGAAGAAGATAGATGTAGCTACGAGTGATTTACGGCGATTGTTGCGTCTTGATCTGCTGTGAGTTTGTCTATTTGAATATCAAATCAGTGATCTGCCGATTAGCTGACCAGAAGAAGTTGATTCGAATTGGATGGAGATTGTTTAGTCCTCTGTTGGTTTATTTGCTGTCTCTTAATGTCCATTCCTTTATTTTTTTCAAGAGGATGGTTAAGGGTGAGCAAACTATGGTTGGAAGTGAACTAGTGTTTCTGATCTAATGCTTTCTGGAGTGACAAGGACATTGTTGCTTGCCCACAATAGTTAGTTTCAAATGTAGTAAAAGAAGAAGATTAGGTTTGTGTACATTCTTGTAGTCTGTAAGTGTTGATTTGGTCAATGTGTGATCAGCTGGATGGGTGTTTCGTGCTCTTAGGGTGTCACTGTAGTCATACGGATTTTAGATTTCTAAGTGTATGCAGTTAAAGGTTAGACCTGATATTCGTCTCAGTTGTTGTTGATTCCTATTTCTAGATGTAGCTTTTAAGTATGATGTAACCTTGAAGTTCACTTGAATAAAAGTTTAGTTTAATAGAAAAAAATTGGTCTTTTGATATCTTTCAGTATTTTATGTGTGCTTTAAAAGGGTTCAGAGGATTTTTCTTTTGCAAATGGCTTCAAGGAACTTGCATTGGTGGTTGCTAATTGATTTGGTGCAAATTCAACAGAACTAAGCATGATGGGAAGGAGAAAAAAGAATTGATGGTCAGTTTGGGTTATCTCTCTTACCTGTATTGGTGGGAATTGTTGAGCTATGTAGTCTACTTTTCCTATTTGTTGTGCAAGTTCGGTACTTTACTCTCGTGAGTCATGATTGGGTTACAAGTTGGTTTTGAGTTAGTCTGTTAGTCGGTCTATATTTCAATTAAAGCATCTAAAACATCTTGTTTGTGCATTGGAAATGATCAGGGAAGAAATTGCATTCTGGCTGGTTGCTTGGCCATATATGTTTTGAAATGCCATAATCAATTCATCCTGGTTTTCAGTTTCTCATCTTTGGGTGCATTAGCTGGCCACTTAAATGATCAGTTGGAATTGAAAGACCTTAATCTTGTGCAACAGTACTGAGAGGTTCTAGGGGCTTCAGTATTTTCATTTCAGCCTGTCAATTTCGGTCTGCATATGTGGATGAAAACTTATTGGGGTACTTGTTAAAGCGCATAGGTAGTGTCACCAAGATAAAGCTGAACGCTCGAGCAACTGAGGTAATTTCCAGGTGATGTGTCACCCTATCAACCTGTAATTATAGATTGCACTACTCATTGCCCTTCTATTTTATCTTTGGTGTTTGAGTTGATGTGTTTGCATGCTTGCCCTGTATGCTGGTGGAAGTATTATATAGTGTATAATAATGGGATTCTGTTACCATTTAAAATATGTGACTTATGTTATTTTGCCCCGAAATTCATTTGAGGCTTGAACAGCTGTTTAGTTGTGTCAATGATGGTAGGCTGTTTTAACAAGTTCTGGTTAGATTTTATTTGGTTGATTTAATTACCAAAGTGATCCTCAGTTTTTGGTTTGAAAATAATATTTTGTTCAAGCAACACGAAAATGATTATTTCGGGCTTGTAGGTGCGCAATAAGAGTAAACAAGTTTGGTTTTTGGTTGATGGTTTCTGAACATAGGGAGTTGAAAACTGAGAAACAGAAATCAAAAAGGAAATTGGTTCTTTTGTAATAATTGAGTGGACTTGATTATCCTTATCACTTCTTTGATTATTATCTGCTTTAATAGTCAGAATTAGCATTAATACTCTAAACCAAAGACCATCAGTAAGAAATATAAATTCCGATTTCTACCATATAAACTTAGGCTGTGCATGCTTGTTGACAATTTGGACATAAGATGTGACTTCTCACAATGATTGGGATCCTGAGAGAAGCATCACAATTAGGTAACATTGCTCCAATATGACATCTCCCATTCAATCTTACCATGTTGATTGTCTATGGTGGGAATAACTAAAATGCCATGATTTCAATTGCTCTCCTCCTATTAAGTTTTATTCAGCTACGAAATTTTCAAAAAGTATCTTCTTGTGTCTGTAATATTGATTCATACTTTCTTTTCTTTGTAAAATACTATATTTTCTTTGTAAAAAGGTGTATGTTCTTTGTAAAAAGGTGTATATATATTAGTGAGTGATGATATTTTGCTACTGGAAATTATTAGCTCAAATCATTGGAAACCAGTGTTTAAAGCCATATGGAACTACTCTCCTACTGGTCTCCATATCATTATCATCTGATCTGAACATTAAAATGCACAAGATCACATAGAAGCATCTTCTTATGTCTGCAATATTGATTCATACTTTCTTTTCTTTGTAAAATAGTATATTTTCTTTGTAAAAAGGTGTATTTTCTTTGTAAAAAGGTGTATATTAGTGAGTGATGATATTCTGCTACTGGAAATTATTAGCTCAAATCATTGGAAACCAGTGTTTAAAGCCATATGGAACTACTTTCCTACTGGTCTCCATATCATTATCATCTGATCTGAACATTGAGTTGCACAAGATCACATAGAATTCTAATCTAAGCAGAACTTGTGCCCCCCATATTTTGCTCCTCACTTGTTTTGTATGCCTTATATCTTGCCTTCATGCAGAATTAGAACGTTTAGTTGTTGCCTTTAAAACAAGAAAATTTATGTCAGCAGGATCCACCGTGGTCAAAGAACAGATTGCACTGTAATTTAGTGGTTTAGGTAATTTGAGTCTCCTTCTCTGATTATTATAAATTACATAAGTTGTAATATCATCATTACCCTGAAAATTATTTATGATCTAGTAGAAGAGCATTGCTACACTTGTATTCATGAATCATGATTATTCAATTTTTATCAATCAAAACATAATTTTAAGGTAAGTACTACATAAGAGTCATGGATATGACATGTATTCTTGGACTGGGAATATATTAAAGCGCCTCAGTGTGTCACATTTTCAGTAGCCCATTTGGTGTGGTTGTTTTCTAGTTCAGAGGCTTTATTAACTTTAGTTGAAACCTGTTTGATCTTCTAGGAATTCACTGCGTTTGGTGTGTGAGCTTGGCTATTGCATCCTACTGTTTCACCCAACTCCAACGAACTGCTTTGCCTACCGTTACTTCCATCTGCCTCTGGATTAATAGACACAATCCTCTTCCAGAACCAATGTTTCTGCCACAATAGAATCATCTCTTCAATCGGAACTCCTTTGGTTTCAGGTAAGAAGATGTAGACAAAGATAGTCATAACAGTAATCCAGCCAGCAAAGAAGAGGAAAAGGCCGAATTTCAATGCGCAAAGCAGTGAAGGGAAAGATTGGGCTATAACAAAAGTGAAAAAGAGGTTCACAGCTACTGTAATGCTTTGCCCGGCAGAACGTGTTTCTAATGGGAAAATTTCACTCGGCACTGTCCAACCAAGTGGCCCCCATGACCATCCAAAGGCCGCAACAAAGAGGCAGATGATGACCACCACCGAGATTGAGACGCTTTTTGAGAGTTCTTTGTCATTGCCGAACTTGAGCCCCAATATTAAGGCGACTACAACCTGTTCACATATATAGGAAGATAATCATCTATGGTTGCAGACACTGACAAACAGCTCTTTTTACTTTTCTTCTACTAGGCTTATAAAATCAAGGAAGTTGATTGACTCAGCCGCATGACACTTTGATTTGGAAGAGTGTAACAAAATCCTACAGATTTTAATGAAAAGTTGCAAAAGATGCAATTGGTATTCCACGTAAAGATGATTCCTGGGAATGGTTAAAGAAAAATCCCCTTTTCATGCATATCTTGCCATTTCAATTTAAGCAGTGCAGGTTGTGAAATGCAGTTACTTACGAGTCAGTATTCTTTGTTCTCTGGATGCAACATGAGGATGCAGTTTTCATGGCTATATGTTATTCTTTTTTTTTTTTTTTCTTCTTTTTTATTTTATTTTCAGGTGCATGCCAATGCATTAGGACAAAATTGATTTACCTGGCATACAATCATTTGTATCCCTCCTCCAATCAGTAAAGCTCTTCGGCCCCATCTATCCACTGTTGCTATTGAAACTAGTGTAGATGCAGCAAGGACTCCTCCAGTCGCTGCAGAAGAATAGAGGGAAGCATTTCCTCCAAATCCCATAGTCTGGAACAGCACCGGGGCATAGAACAGAATCGAATTAATCCCTGTGAGGATCTGAAACATTGGCATAAAGATTGCCATGATCAACTGTGGCCTGTTCCTTTTCTCAAGGATGTTCCTGAAGGGATGCTTGATCGAGTTTGCAAACTCACTTGCATCAATCAAGTCTTCAAACTCTGCATCAACATTTTCTGTCCCTCTTATTCTTTCTAGAACTTTTCTTCCTTTTTCTTTCAATCCCCTCTCAGTTAAGCTGTTTGGTGTTTCTGGAAGAAATATTCCTCCCACTGTCATTAAAAGAGCTGGTGCTGCTGCTAGGCCAAGGGAGAGCCTCCATCCCCATGGCTTGAGCTTATCTGTTCCATAATTGATCATGTTTGCGGTGAAGATCCCAAGAGTTGTTGCTAACTGAAACATCATGTTTAGGGCTCCTCTGAGATGGGTTGGTGCCATCTCTGACAAGTATAGTGGAACCGCCTTCAAGCAAAAATAGAGAGTTAATATTCATGTGGATGATCATTAAATGGGTATCTCATAAACCATCTACACTTGATGGGTCAATAGAAGCTTGTCACTTCTATTCTCTGAACCTACAGTTTTCCATGTAGTTAGATGAATTCTAGGACATAACAAATTCTCATTTCTTCATAGCAATCTAACTTTTTTTTTTAACGTGGATTTCAGTTTTACATGGAGGATATATGTGTGCTTTTTCCTTTTCAAAAGTATCCCCAAGTGGTGTTTGAAGAATTTTAGCAAATAAATGTGCTTTCTTTCTTATATGAAGGAAATTTCAGGGAATGTTCCAAGTGATACAGGACACCTGATTTCCAAAGCCAATTCCAAAACCGAGCATGATCCGACCCAAAATAAGCATTTCCAGGTTGACAGCTGAGGCATTAAGGGCTGCTCCAACAAGAAAGCATATCCCACCGGAAATAATACTCGTTCGACGCCCATACATCCGTGTGACAGGAGATGCCACCAGAGAAGCAACCAAACCAGCAAGGTATAGAGATGAGGTAAATGCTGCAAGCCCTTGATTATTGTACTTGCAGTAGTTGTTTTCATGTGCACGTTTCTTATTTTTGTAGACCGTGTAGAAGAATCGATGAAGAAATTCATCCATTGATGTAACACCTCCTGTTAATTTATCAAAGTTGCATCAGAATATAAATTTTTTAGTGAGAGTAAAGTACATCTTTACAATTTGTATATATGATAGTATTCTTCAGGTTAACTAAGACCCCCTCCCTCCTTTCCCATTGTTACATTTGATCATCAAATATAGAACACCGTTGTAGTGTTTTAGTTTTCCGGTAAATACCAAATACACCCATTACAGTGTTTAGTTACAACAGAGAGTTAATGTCGATGTGAAGGTCTATTAAATGGATATTTTTGTTCATTTTATAGATGTCACAACCAGTATAGTTGTCTTTTGTTACTTAAGCAATCAAATTTTGACATGAACATCATTATATCCACAAAAAGAAGATGGTCCAATTTGTTCCAGATTTAATTTCTTCTCTTCAACTCGACAAACAAATAGACATGAGATATTAATAATTCTCATTTGTTTCCCTTGGGAAATCAGATACTAAATAGTGAGGCATTGAATTTTATTTTGTGTCCAACTAGGTTGTGGTTGTGGTGACGTCATTGTTTTAATGAATTCCGAAGGATGGCCTATAATGGTAGCTACTCATTTCATTCAAAACATTGGGATTCCAGAAGCAGCAGAAGCTGCTGTGCTAAAGGAAAGCTTGAAAGTCATATTGCAATGGGGATACAAAGATAACCTGGTCATTTAGGGTGATTGTCTTCAGGTAATGAAGCTAAAATCATCTGATCCAATGCCTGCAGTTTTCTGTGATGATATAAAGGAGTTGCTATATTCCAGTAGACAGTTGAGTTTTCTGTGGTGTCCTAGAGTGTGCAATATAGCTGCTGATAATTTGGGTAGATGGGCTTTTCAATGTAAGAATGGAGATGTTCATTGGGATATCTGGCCACTGTTTTTACTAACTCACTAGATGTCTTGAACCAGGATTGTACGATCTTCTTTATCAATAAATTTGATTTACTTTTGAAAAAGAAAAAAAAACTTTCTGTGATTACTTCTTCAATTCTATATGTATTCTTTTCACTATAATCCTTAAATATGACAATAGTTACTAAAAAATTCCTTATTTTGATTCAGAAGGTGGTTAGAAGTACCTGAAATTCCGATATCATAGCCGAAGATTGATCCACCAACCGCAGCAACCATGCAAGCAATAATCACATAAAGGGTCACCCTTCCTTGGTACCGCTCAGCTCTTTCCTTGGCCACACCCGCCGGAGCAAAAGACCCGCCTGCCATATTCAAAGTCCTCCTTTTCCTGCTGCAGAAGGCTTGCCAAAACCAGAGGGAACAGAGAGGATTTCTTTGACCTATAGAATAGAGATAAGTTTTTCTATGCTTGATTTTTCATTTAGTGTTTAGTTGACTTGAGACTACCAATGATTTATTGACTTCAAAATCTGACACAAAAAAGAAATATAGTGAAGTCATTGTCTTTGTAATGTATTTACTTTTTTCTATGCTGTGACGATAATGTCTCTCTTATACAGAAGTATGCTTTGCATGAGCCAATAGAGAGAGAGAGAGAGTGAGAGGCAAATACGTGGGAACTAAAACTTCTAAAATTTTGGTGCTACTGAAAGTTACTTGCTCCACTTCTTTCAGAGAGAGAGAGAGGTCCCCTCTTATAAGTTGTGGTGGAGTTTTCAATTATTGTCATATTTTCCTTTTTTGAGTTGTTTCCTCCATTTTGCAGAATTTTTGGTGACTTGACTTGCTTAGTTTGTCTGTTCTATTTCAGATTTTGATTCTCTTCTGTTTTGTCTTAATATAGAAGAAGAGGCGTGGTCTACAGAGGGAGTAAAGTACCCACACTGTTCTGAATATAAATTGAAATATACATGAAAATATTGTTACATTTGTTACATTTGTTCCAAAATAGAAAATAAAAAGAAAATTCTTCAGATACATATACATACAACATCAATATACTCTTTGTTGTACCGTGTGCATATATTTATTTAATTTTATGAAGTTGTAATTGAAAGTGTACGACTCTTTGTAACTGATAGCTGCTATTATATGTGTAAATCTTTTGCCTGAAATGATTTCAGAGAAGATAACATCGATTAATGTGTCACAAAAGTAGGATGAAGCAGCTGACAATGTATGGGTATTGTTCTATATTAAGTGGAGTCTTCGAACTCTCGTACTTCATGGTTGATATTGAGAAAAGAGTATACATATTAGATATTGTTTTTTTTTTTTTTTTCTTTTCTTTTCTTTGTTTGGTATTAAGTAAGAACAATACCCCATACCGCATGGTGGTCCGTGGACTACATGGTTAGATCATCTTTTTTTTGCTTAAATAAACTGGAATGAAAATCACAACCTATTTTACAATTTGTTTTTGTTTCGAGGATGAATAAGCCCTATGCGATCTAATTGGCATGAAACTAGATGCTAAAAACAAATGGAAACCAAAAATGAGTGTCTTGAGAATTTAAATTAGGCCCATGTAGACTTGGTTGACTGGACCAGCAGAGTGGGTTGGCTGGATCAACCATTTTGGATCATATCATATTCTTGAACGTCTCTATTGCATCTTTCATTTAGGCTCAGTTAATATTTTCTTAAAAAAAAAAAAAAAAAAAAAATTCAGGTAAAATCTTTTTTTATTTTTATTTTTCAGTATTTGGTAAGAGTCTAGAGGTTGAAGTCGAGTTCATGAGGCATTGTGTGAGATCTAACTTGTCAAAAATTAATGAGCAAGTTATTTTTGTTAGATTTAAAATTTTTTTTTCGTAAATATTTTCCAACAATCAAATAACAGAAAATAAAAAAATATTTTCTGAAAAATATTTTCCACCCAAACAAAGGCAGCCTTAAGAGAGAATAAAATTGTGGACATTCTCATGTAATTTAGGCGCTTGTATACAGTAGAATTATTAATAATTCTATGCCGTTTTATATTTGCAAACTGACGAATCGACTTATCAGGAATCCCCAACTCGGATTCATTCATCTCCCACAGTCTAGACCATTCTAATGGGTTGTCATTTTTTTTTTTTTCTCCTTTGAACAGTGAAACAAACAGTTCAGGGGGAGTTGGAACACAACCTGTTTATGGTGAGAAAGTAATAAAAAAGACAGAAAGAAAAGACTGGAGAGGGAGATGGAAAGGAAAGATGAAAATCTTTTGGTAGAGAATAAGAAAGAAAAGCCTAAAAAACATTCCCCTTCTAAAATTGGAATAAAAGGAGGGGAAACACTTTTCCTCTTTCTTAATTTTATTTTTTTTTCTTTTTACATTGAGTAGTGCTACTTAAGCCGAAAAGTTGGACAAATTCTTTATATTTTGCATACATGTTTGGTCAAGAAACTCATCGGCTTTAAAAACATTTTCGTTTTACATTTTTAACCACAGCAGAAGTCTCTCTCTATATTCTTTCCTTTCAATTTTCCTTGGTCAGTATTAAAAACTTTATTACTTTGACGTTTGAGGAATATACTGTTTGTATAAAAGAGAACTTAAATGTTAATGCTATTACTGCTTATGTACCCTGAAAATTATTGATGGCCAGTAGAAGAGCATTGGTACGTACACTTCATCATGATTCAAATTTTGTCAAATTAAATCACAATTTTAAGGCAAGAACCACTTACCTAGAGTCTCGATATGATCACATGTACTCTTGGACTTGGAATATATACAAACTCCTCAGGGTGATACCTTTTCAGCAGAGCCCATTAGTTTTAGTTGAATTCTGTTTGATCTTCTAGGAATTCACTGCCTTTGGTGCATGAGCTTGGCTATGCGTTGCCAACTGTTTAACCCAACTCCAATGAACTGCTTTCCTTACCATTACTTGTATCTGCGTCTGGATTAATAGACACAATCCTCTTCCAGAACCAATGTTTCTGCCACAATAGAATCATCTCTTCAATCGGAACTCCTTTGGTTTCAGGTAAGAAGATGCAGACAAAGATTGTCATGACAGTAATCCAAGCAGCAAAGAAGAGGAAAATGCCGAACTTCAAGGCGCAAAGGAGGGAAAGGAAAGATTGGGCTATAACAAAAGTGAAAAAGAGGTTCACAGCTACCGTAATGCTTTGCCCAGCAGAACGTGTTTCTAATGGGAATATCTCACTCGGCACTGTCCAACCAAGTGGTCCCCATGACCATCCAAAGGCTGCAACAAAGAGGCAGATGATGACCACCACTGAGATTGAGAGGCTTTTTGAGAGTTCTTTGTCATCACCGAACTTGAGCCCCAATATTATGGCGACTACAACCTGTTTCACATACATAGGAAAGAATAATCATATATGGTTGCAGACACTGACAAACAGCTCTTTTTGCTTTTCTTCTACTAGGCTTATAAAATCAAGGAAGTTGATTGGCTCAGCCCCATGACTGTTTGATTTGGAACAGTGTAACAAAATCCTACAGATTTTAATGAAAAGTTGCAAAAGATGCAATTGGTATTCTAGCCTTTCTAGGTAAAGATGATTCCTGGAAATGGTTAAAGAAAAATACCCTTTTCATGCGTATCTTGCATGCTAATTCAATTTAAGCAGTGCGGGTTGTGAAATGCAGTTGCTTACAAGTCTGTATTCTTTGTTCTCTGGATGCAACATGAAAATGGAGTTTTCATGGCTATATGATTTTCTTTTTTGTTTCTAAATTAATTAATTAATTTTTAATTTTTTATTTTCAGGTGCGTGCTAATGCATTAGGAGAAAATTGTTTTACCTGGCATACAATCATTTGTATCCCTCCTCCAATCAGTAAAGCTCTTCGGCCCCATCTATCCACTGTTGCTATTGAAACCAGCGTAGATGCAGCAAGGACTCCTCCAGTCACTGCAGAAGAATAGAGGGCAGCATTCCCTCCAAATCCCATTGTCTGGAACAGCACCGGGGCATAGAACAGAATCGAATTAATCCCTGTGAGGATCTGAAACATTGGCATGAAGATTGCCATGACCAACTGTGGCCTGTTCCTTTTCTCAAGGATGTTCCTGAAGGGATGCTTGATCGAGTTTGCAAACTCACTTGCATCAATCAAGTCTTCAAACTCTGCGTCAACATTTTCAGTCCCTCTTATTCTTACTAGAACTTTTCTTCCTTTTTCTTTCAATCCCCGCTCAGTTAAGCTGTTTGGTGTTTCTGGAACAAGTATTCCTCCCACCGTCATTAAAAGAGCTGGTACTGCTGCTAGGCCAAGGGAGAGCCTCCATCCCCATGGCTTGAGCTTATGTGTTCCATAATTGACCATATTTGCGGTAAAGATCCCAAGAGTTGTTGCTAACTGAAACATCATGTTTAGGGCTCCTCTGAGATGGGTTGGTGCCATCTCTGACAAGTATAGTGGAACCGCCTTCAAACAGCAATAGAGAGTTAATATTCATGAGGAAGATCATTAAATGGATATCTCAAAAACCATCTAGACTTGATGGGTCAATAGAAGGTTGTCACTTCTATTCTCTGAACTTCAGACATTTTTCAAGTAGGATTTCAGTTTTAAATGGTGGATATGTGTGTGCGCGCTTCTTTTTCAAAAGTACTCTCTAGTGTTGTTTGTAGATATTTAGCAAATAAATGTGCTTTGTGTCTTATATGAAGGAAATTACAGGGAATAGTTCCAAGTGAAGCAGGACACCTGATTTCCAAAGCCAATTCCAAAACCAAGCATAATCCGACCCAAAATAAGCATTTCCAGATTGACAGCTGAGGCATTAAGGGCTGATCCAACAAGAAAGCAGAGCCCACCGGAAATTATACTTATTCGACGCCCATACCTCCGTGTGACAGGAGATGCCACCAGAGAAGCAACCAAACCAGCAAGGTATAGAGATGAGGTAAATGCTGCAAGTCCTTGGTTATTGTACTTGCAGTAGTTGTTTTCATGTGCATGCTTCTTATTTTTGTAGACCGTGTAGAAGAATCGATAAAGAAATTCATCCATTGATGTAACACCTCCTGATAATTTATCAAAGTTACAACAGAATTTAAATTTTTTAGTGAGAGTGAAAGTACATCTTTACAATTTGTATAAATGATAGTATTCACCAAGGTATTGTTGTTTAGAATAGTTAACTACCTCTAACCTATTTAACAGTCGGTTGTTGTTGAGAGTTAAGGATTTCCTTCATCACACACAACAGAAACATCATCACATTACATCAACACAAGTATATATAGAGAGATAACAATCATACACATTAACGCACAACACAATATTTTACATGGTTTACCCAACTCTAGGGTTACGTCCATGGAGAGAGATTTCACTATTATGAATCAAGTTTGAGCCTACATGTATACACTCGGCAATTACATATACTCTCCCATCTCCTCACAACATTCACCCTTAAACTTCTTACATCTTTTCTCTCCTCTCTTTCTTTCAACCTTTCATACCCATTTCTATTTATAGAGTCTGTAAAACCCAATTTCTTGTTGGACAAGTATTTCCCAACTTGCTTACAAGGAGTTACCATATCTTTAACTTTAAAATAGTAAGTACAAATTCTTTTCCAAATTTTCAGCCTTTTCCCAAAGTCTTCTGGCTTCTATAATTGAGTACGAAGCTAATTCTCATACATATCAGGCAAATGCAACCGTTTCTTCAAATAACCATTCTGCCCAAACACTACCAGTTCTGCTAAAACGCAACCAGTTGTGTTTTTCCATAATAGAATTATCTGCGTGAATTTTAAGCCACAATTCTAATAATATCCTCTTTGGCTCAAAATTTCTATCTTCATGTGCTCCTCCTAGGGATGGCAATTTGCCCCATCGGGACGGGTACCCGCCCCGTTTATAGTGATTTTGGGGGACCGTTTGACTTATTTAGGCGGAGATGGTTTTTATTAATGAAAACTTGCGCGGGGGCGGGGGGAGGTCACCCCGCCCCGTTTAAGTAGATAAATTACTAAATTACTCTTATTTTATTAGTATATATAGTTAGCTCTAGAAACTATATGTCACATTCACTCACTTTCTCAATTGTTCTATAGAGCGGCAGAGCCCTACGAACTAAGAACTCTCGTACCCTTTAATTTTATGTTAAATTATTGATTGCCCATTTCTATAAATTTTTTCAATAGTTATATAATTGTATTTGAGGAAAAAAAAAAAAAAATTAAGGAGAAATTCTAGAACTGAATAGGGCGGGGTAGGGCGGGTGCCCGCGGGGGTGAAAAAGTTAAACGGGGGCAGGGATGGGGTGAAAAGGCCTCCCATTTAGGCGGTTTTGGACGGGGATGAGGCTGGGGTTTCTAAACGGTTGCGGGGGCGGGGGAGGGTACACCCGCCCAAAACCGCCCCCGTTGTCATCCCTCTAATCCATAGCTTCACCTTGAACAAAGAACTCTTTATAGCTCCACCTTAACAGAAGACTTCTCTACCTTAACAGAAGACTTCTCTACCTTAACAGAAGACTTCTCTACCTCAAATAAAACACTATGATGAAATTGAGAAACACTCTAACAATCTCCACCCCACTGGCGTTCAATTGCTCACGCATAGCAACCCACCAATCTTCAAACTCATCTTCATCAATTGTTTTTCTGGTTCAAAGCAACAAACCTCTCATCTTCACTCTTCGTATTCTCATTTGCTCTTTACCGGGCTTATAGCAAACCCATTCATTCTTCACACTTTTGCCCCATATTGAGAACTAGCACCATCTCTAACTTATCCCCAAAACTTGTTCCTCGTGGGCTTTACCTCTATCACCTTTGATCCTCTGGTTTGTCCCAAGACTTGTTCCTCATAGGCCTATGTCTTTACACTATCTATCTTCTTCATACCTTCGTGTCATCATCAATTCTGATTGAATCTCCATAGCACCTCACGATTATCCTCTACTCTGACAAATTTCACACCAATTTTCTGCTAATGATCTTCAGGACTAATCACAGGCTCTGATACCAGTTGTTGGGGAATAATTAACTCCCTCTAACCCACTCAAAGGTCAGTTGAGAGTTAAATCTCTCATTCATTACACACAGTGGAAGCATAATCACGTCACATCAACACAAGCCTATATGGAGATAACAATCATACACATCTACGCACAACATAATATTTTACATGGTTCACCCAACTCTAGGGTTACGTCCATGGAGAGAGAGGTATTTCACTATTATGAATCAAGGAAGAAAATATACAACCACATTTCAAAACTTCACTCACTCCTCATCTCTTTTAAGGCTACATGTATACACTCGGGAATTACATATAATTTCCCCTCTCCTCACAACACTCACCTTTAAACCCCTTACATCTTTTCTCTCTTATCTCTCTCTCTCAACCTCTCATATCCATCTCTATTTCTAGAGTCTTTAAAATCCAATTCCTTGTTGGATAAGTATTTTTCAATTTGCTTACAAGGAGTTACCATATCCTTCTTCAACTCTAAAATAGGAGGTGCAACTTTTTCCCCAAGCTTTTTCCCCAAGTCTTTTGACTTCCAAAACTGATTAGGAAACTAATTATGGCACATATCACGCAAACGTTTCTTCAAACAACCATTATGCCCAAATGCAACCAGTTCCGCTAAAACGCAACTAATTGTGTTTTTTCATAATAGAATTTTCTGCGTGAATTTTGAGCCACAAACACTTGTGGTCTAGTGATACTTCCTCACATTTTAAAGTAGAAGGTCGAGAATTTGAGTCCCTGGAGATGTCACAATTAATCAGTATAGTTGTCTTTTGTTACTTGAGGGATCAGATTTTGACGTGAACATCACATTATTAGTCATAAAAAGAAGATGCTGCTCCAATTTGTTCCAACTTCTACTTGGCAATCACATAGACATTAGATTTTAATAATTCTCATTTAATTCCTTTTAGAAATCAGATAGATACTAACTAGTGAGGAATCTGATTTTTATTTTGTTTGCAACTAGGTTGTTGTTATCCCTTTTTATACAGTACTTTCTGTGATTACTCCATCAATTGTATATATATTCTTTTCATTTTCATGACAATAGTAAGTAGAGCAGTAAAAAAATCCTTAATTTGATTCAGAAGGTGATTAGAAGTACCTGAAATTCCGATATCATAGCCGAAGATTGAGCCACCAACTGCAGCAACCATGCAAGCTACAATCACATACAGGGTCACCCTTCCTTGGTACTGCCCAGCTCTTTCCTTGGCCACACCGGCCGGAGCAAAAGACCCTCCTGCCATATTCAAAGCCTTTCTTTTCCTGCTGCTGCTGCAGAATGCTTGCCAAAACCAGAAGGAACAGAGGATTTCTTTGGCCTTATAAAATAGAGAGAAGTTTTTCTATGCTAGGTCCTTGTGGTATAGGGACATGTTTTCTACCCTGGCTTTTCTATCCAGCCTCCGTTGGTATCGAGATAAGATATTTTCAGGAAAATATTTTTGGCATTTTCCAGTTTTGAATTGTTCTAAAAACAAGTAAAATGTTTTACAATATAAAATATTTTATCAAGTTTCTACAAAAATAACTTACCACCAAAATTTTCGCAGAGTCATTTTCCGTTGTTGTCAAACCGATGATCGACGAAATCAAGTATATCCCCGCAATGACCTTCTGATAAACTCTTGCTCTCTCTTAACTATGAAATTCTAGATGGTTAGACGAGTCTGAAAAGACGGTGGATGCGTGCTTCAAGACAAATGGTTGAGGATCAAATCTCAATAAATTTCCTGAAATGCATTGATTTTCCATTTAGTGTTTAGTTGACTTGCGAGTACCAAACTTTCATTTTTTTATTTCCTCAATACCAACCTTCCACTTAACTTCTAAATCTGGAAGGACCTTAAATTTAGGAATATAGTACAAATATAGTAATATATGTTTGATATTTCATAATTTTTATATCTAAAACAAAATATATAATTATATATTATGTAAATTTATGGTAATAAATAACTTTTAAAAAAATAAAAAAAATTTATGACAATAAACACAAATACTTATAATATTAATTTATATACCTTATACAATAATTTGTTTCTATTGACTTCCTTAAAAAAAAAAAAAATTATATTTAAAATCATATACTAGTTTATTTTATTATTATATTATTTTTGAGTTCACGTGCAAGCATAGCAGCGTTTAGCTCAATCTAAATAATTTTATGAAATCACACCGAACAATTACCTTTTAATTGACTATTTATACCAAATACAACTAAATGGAGGGTCTTCCTTATTTGTTGCATAATTGACCAATTAAAAAAGTAAGTCTAGTAATTCACTGCAATTATTCGGTGCAAGAATTATTTTCCTTTTCAAAATAACCTTGTGAAATCTCCTAAAATATGACACGTTTTCTGAAATTGATTGGACATAACTACTTTCAGTGTAACAAATCCTAAGAGAAATTTTACTAAGAGGAACAAAAAAGATAATTGAAGTATTTGATTTTATAAAAAGCTAGTTAAGTTATTATTTTTATTAAATATTCCAATTCCAGCTGCATTTGCTTAGAGAAATTTTTCAAAGTTAAAGTTGATCAAATCTCACATACCATCGACAATGTTATAAGAGAGATTGAATGGATTGATTATGATATCTATTTAAAAAGATATGTTGTTGAAGAAACTTGATTGAAATATTTTAATTGATAATTTTGCAACTCAAAATGTAAAACGATTACATTTACTTTGATATGAATATGAATTTTGATTTTTGTGACTAAGTTGTATATAATATTTTCTTTCAATTTTTTAATATAAATTGGATCGTCCTCTTTATGAATCACCAAGATCCGGTTTTATTTTGTGTCTTTTTAACATTAATATATTTTATGTGTTTATCATCTCATTTTAATAAAAATTTCATAATATTGTTCTTCTTCGGTAGGAGTCAATTAAAACCATAAAGAGAGGCAATGTCACCTTCTACCTTTGGTAATTAAAACTTCAGAAAGAGAGAGAGGGCAATAACATGTCATATAAATTGGGATTAAAAGCTTTTTTTGCACTATAATATACCTGTCTTAGCCGATGAGGAGAGTTAGTGATACATATTACAAAAAAATTGTGACGCTTGATCTTAGATCCCAATATTCTTCTCACCAATGAAGAGATACACTGTAACAAAGGAGAAAACTTTAATCCTATAAGTTGTTGGGGGCGTTTTCAATTATTGTCAAATTTTTCTTTTTGGAGTTTGTTTCCTCCAATTTTACATCATACATTTGCAAACACATGCACTCATCTTTCCATAAACTCTCAAAACACCTGATCTCTTTTAGGGGGGAGGGTTTTACCAGCTGGGTTTGATAATATATATATATATATATTATGCTTAACCTGCAATTAGTATAAGAAAATTTAAAAACACTTTTTTATGTTTTAACTTAAGAAATAGTGCTTTAATTGTGCATGCAAGAGTCAATAAATTATAAAGTCCAAAGGAAATATGATCTTCAACAACTATGAATATGTAAGAGAATTAAAAAACAATTAATATATCAAAATTACAGATAAATGTTATAATGAAAAACCGTAATTTTATGGGGTCTTTTCTTTCATTTGGGGCCTTGGTCAGGCGTGGATGCAAGAGGGGCTTAGTGGGAGCAGATGCCCACATTGAATTTTTTTTAATTATTTCTATTGTACTCATAGATTTTGTAAAATTTCAAATATGCTCCTACTAATTTTTTTTTTTAAAAAATCACTACAAAAATATGCCCTTACTAAACATTTTGGCTCTAACCAGCCTAATTACTCTTTCTGGGGCATTATCAGTGACCTAATTAGTTGAGTGTCCAGTTCTCTGAGCGGGTGTGCTTATGTTCGAATCCATCCTCCCTCAAAAAAAAAAAATAATAATAATAATAATCACTCTTTTTATTATCACGAGAAATCCTATTATGTCCATTAAACATATGAAACTTTAAAAGTTAAGTAGTTGTATAGTTGTAATTGAAGTGAATATTGAGTTGTTGTTTTGTATGACATGCTTGTCCTAGGATGTTCTATTCTCTATTTTGAAAAGCAAAAATTAATTTGTCTTGCTCATCTTACCAAATATTGACATAAAAACAAAAATTAATTGAAAAAAAAAATATTATTATTTTTATTTAAAGCCGTCTCTCCTCAAATAATTTTCTCGGTCTATTAGTGGCCTTAGTGTCACACCCCGCTACCAAGAGGCTCTGCCACGCAGGCGCCACGCAGGCGCCCAGCAGACGATGACATGGAGCCTGCATGGACTAGAGCTTTTTAGACTTCTCTACACAAGTATGGAATTTTCCAGAATTCTCTAGATTAGTGTGGAGTTGTCTAGCCTTTTCTAGACTTGTCTAGAGTTGTATAGAATTCTCTAGAATTCTCTAGACTTGTCTTGTACATAGTAGATAGTTCTAGAGGTGTGTAGATATTTCTGGAGGATTTTAGATACTAAATCTAGGCCACACATTTGTACACATCTAGAATGTTCTTGTAAGGCCAAAGGCCTATAAATAGGAGGTGGGAGTTCATTTGCTCCTCACCAAGCAACCAAGTTGTAATCTCTCCTCTCAAGCAATACAAGTTCTATACATTCCCAAACTCTCTTGCTCACTTGCCTAACCTCTTCCTACACACCCAAGTAAGCAAAACACTTGTCTAGCCTTAGTCTTCACTAAGCTAGCACACTCGGGTAGGCTGACTTAGCGCTTCAAGGGGGCTTGAAAGTGTCTAAGGCCGCACGGGAGCTTGAAAAGGTTCAAGTCCGTGACAGTTGGTATCAGAGCTAAGGTCGTGAGGCGTCACACCTTGTGTGGAGGAAGCTATGGCGGAGCTATCAGATGTGACTGGCACCGAAGAGGAGACTCTACGTGGAAGGGAAACAAATCCCCCTCCAGGCGGAGTGAGGACGAGGGCTAGGTCGAAGGACATCATGGCGGGCTTAGAGGCACGGGTGGCAATGATGGAGGGGTCCATAGCCAACGTGTTGGAACAGCTTGAGGATGCTCACCAGCGCATGGATGGGCTGGAGTCGGAGGACGTTGAGGTCCAGAATGCTGTCAAAGGGTCACTCAATGCCCTAAGTGGTGACTTTCGGCAGGAGCTCCAAGCACTTCGAGAACTTATGTTGGGGGAGTTTGCCACCCTACGTGGCTATGTTAATCAGGAGCTTGGCACTTTCCGCGAGCAAATGGAGGAAATGCGAGCGGACTGGACATTGTGTAAACGGGCGGTGGCGTCCGGCACAGCTACTACGGGGGTAGTAGCACCCCGGGTTGATATTCCCAAGCCTAAGTGCTATGGTGGGAACCGGGTAGCGAGGGAGTTGGAGAACTTCCTCTTCAGGATGGAGCAATACTTTGAGGCTACGGGCATGACCGATGAGACCATCAAGATACGCACGGCGACCCACTACCTCACCGACCACGCCATGCTATGGTGGAGGAAAAAGTATGGTGACATAGGCAAATGTACGGTCTCTATTGATACTTGGGCTGATTTCACTAGGGAAATTAAGAAGCATTTCTATCCTAAGAATGCCGAGGATGAAGCTAGGGGCAGACTCCGAAGGCTAAAACAGGTTGGGTCGATTCGGGACTATGTGAAGGAATTCACTAACTTGACTCTTGAGATCCCGGATCTATCCGACAAGGACTCTCTTTTCTTCTTCATGGATGGATTGCAGTTGTGGGCTAAGACGGAACTAAGGCGGCGTAACGTGCAAGACTTTGCCACAGCTATTGCAGAGGCGGAGTCCTTTATTGATTTCAGCTCTAAGAAGGAACCCTCGTCCAAGCCAAAAGACAAAGACAAGGACAAGGGGAGGTATGCCGGCAAAGGTGGGGGAGACAAGGGCGCTGCACCCCACAAGGATTAGTCCCGTAACCAGGTGGTGGCCATGGAGGCAAAGAGGGAAGGGAGAACAAGGAAGAAACACCCAAGCCTAAGGGTTCTTGCTTCATATGTGATGGACCACATTGGGTACGAGATTGCCCAAAGCGGAAGACCCTCAATGCCATGACAAGCCGCTACGAAGAGCAACAGCAGGAGGAGGCGCAGATGGGTTCATTGCAAATCCTTAATGCCATTAAGGCTAAAACTGAAGTCCCTAAGGCGGCAGCTAAAGGTCTAATGTTCGTGGAGGCGAGCATCAATGGGACACCCACACGTGCTTTGGTGGATACGGGTGCATCCCACAACTTTGTGAGCCTTGACGAGGCCAAGAGGTTGGGCCTCGAGTATAGCAAAGAAGGGGGCTCCATGAAGGCAGTTAACTCGGCGGCAAAGGCTATACATGGCACACGGCGTCCAAGCATGCATTGGCGAGTGGGGTGGCCACATAGATCTATCGGTGGTACCCATGGACGACTTCAAACTAGTCCTTGGGTTGGAGTTCTTAGACAAGGTGAGAGCCTTCCCCATTCCTTTTGCTAACACTATGTGTATTATGGAAGGCAATACAGCATGCATGGTGCCGGTGGAGCGAGGCGCCAAGTTGGAAGCCCAAGCTTTGTCAGCTATGCAGTTCAAGAAGGGCTTCAAGAAGGGAGAGACTAGCTACCTTGCTACGTTACTGGAGACACCCAAAGATGAGCTAGTCCCTTCCCCACAAGAAGAGGTGCCCAAGGAGATACGAGCCGTGCTAGACGAGTACACGGACGTGATGCCTAAGGAGCTGCCGAAGAAGCTTCCACCTAGGAAGGAGGTGGATCATAAGATTGAGCTGGAACCG